TATCCGATATATTTAATACACAGCAGAACAAGATCAAAAACCAGTGCTTTTTATTCTTCTCTCTTGTCTCTCCCAATTCTCCTATTAGCTTCATCTTTATAACATTTGAATGTTCAGTGTTGAACATTTTCTGTAAAGGACTGGAGCTCAGTGGAGGAAACCAGGTAAAAAATTGTAGTTGTAAAGTGCTTGGGGTCCTAGAAAGACAGAGTGTCAAATAAATCCAAGCTCGTGCTGCTTTTCCAGACAGGGAAACCTTAAAAAAGGAGATTCAATTGAGGTAATGGCCTGCTGGTGTGTCTGATGCTGCTCATGCTGAGGGGGACTTTGCTGCCACTAGGACTGAGCCTCTGAGGTCCGCAAGCCTCAGTTTCTTCAGCTGTGAGCTAGACTTTGTGCCCTTGGAAAATTCTCTGGAAGTGAAAGTGTCAAAAGCAAGAGTCTGTATAAGCAGTAGTGACTCCATCCCTCAATTTCTTTACCAGAGAGAATATATTTAATGTGACTGCTGTGGCAATGGGAGATCCCAACTGTCCCTGGGGGTCACTAGCTGCAGTAAACCACAGCAGAGACAGTTTTGAAGGCAGACAGGTTCGTATGTAAGTACACGGGTGATCTTAGATGACTTAAAATTCTCTGAGCCTCTGGTTTTTTATTAATGAATGGAATCCTTCATTCCAGCCTGAAGACTGACTGAGTTAGGAGAAATACCTAGCCCAGTGCCCAACAGAGAGTAAAGGTAAGGCCTTGCCAAGCACAAGCTATTATTCTGATTATTATTACTTAGCACGGTATCTTCAGTGCTTTGGCATACTGCATTCCATAAATATCTGAGAGAGTTAATGAACAAATAGTTGAATCCACGTATTTACTCTTAGGGCAAAAATGTTCATTAGAATGTAGTCAGGATCTTCAGCAAATTCCTATTCTCTCTTCTAGGTAAGATGGGAGTTTTCTCCTTTCTCCTGTCTCTTCACCTCTTCCCACAGTCTAGCCATTCACTCACAGACAAGACCAGAAGAAATTACAGTGTCAAACATGTTGTTGGGGAACTAAGCCTTGCAAAGGCCATAGTATTTATCCCTCATACTCACTGAGCTGGAGTGGTACTTTTGCACATAACATGTGCTAGGCACTTATGTCAAGAGGTCACTCTCCCCTGCATTTCAGAGTCCAGTGAGAAAGTTCTATAATAACTGAAATACAGTACCATAAGTGCTGGAACAGAGGCAAGCACCAGGGAAATGGGAGAATGGTAGAAGAAAGATAAACTCTCCTTGAGAAGCACAGGGAGATACTGTGAGAAAGGTTTTGCAAAGAAAGCCATTTAAGTTCACGGTGACAGAGGAGGAAGATGGTAAAGAGGAGAAGGGGTGGCTGGAGATGCTTTCTAAGCAGAGGGTGGAACTGGAGGAAGAGCACTTGTGGCAGAGCCAGGACACGGGGAGAGCCTAGAGTAAATCTCCTGGTACATTTGGATACCAGTGAGGAGTTCAGCTATGATACAAGACAGGAGAGCAGTAGGAAAAGACAGGCTGAAGAGCTCAGTATTCATTCAGCTAACAAATGCTTCCTGAGTATCCAATGTAGTTAGGGACAAGGACAACAATGGCTAATGCCTGAAAATTTTCCAGGAGAGATTAGAGAAAACTGCAACAGGAAATAACCTTCACAAGCTGTTGAAGATGACTCTGCTTCCCAGAGGCTAAGGGAGCCCATACGGTGGCAGCAAAAATAAAAAAGGCACTGGAAGGAGAGTAGAGGCCACCAGACTCTATCCAGATTGCCACTAGCTGGGCACCTACTTAGCCAAAACCCTGCCCCCTTTTGGCCGGTTTCCTCATTTGTAAAATGAGCTGGTTAGATAATGGAACCTTAGCATTCTTTAAGGCTCTAAGATGATATGACCACAACCTTTTTAAGTAACAGAGGACTGCATGGCTGAGTGGGGTCTTCTCAGAGCATTTATTAACTCGCGGCTCCACAGTCATCACTCAGAGGACCCAGAGGGACAGAAGCAAAATCAAAAAACATTTTCAGAAGATAGATGACTGAGGGGGCTGACATATGTGTGAGAGTTTGGGGAATTTATGCGGACAGCCTCACAGCCATAAATAAAATCTCTTTCCCTTACCCAAAACCTCATTCAGGGGGTAAACAGCAGACACCGTAATAGACAATTTGGCTGTACCTCCCGCCCCGTGCCTCACTTGAATGAAAAACAGCCATCACAGGCAGGGTAATGGGTCTGGCCGCCTCTGTACAAACATCCATATTGTCACCAGCGACAAGTGAGGCAGAGAACAAAACCGCCTGGATAATTTATCTCTGAGATTCCTGGCCACTTTGTGCAGCTCTAGCCTGACAGCCATCTGACCTGAGGCTGGCAGGCTGAGGGAAACCCCAGGAAGACTCAGATGCTGGGAAGTAGAGGCCTTGGGAGGATGGGAGGAGGGGTACCCCCTCTCTTTCAGATGAGCCTTTGCAGGACTCAGATGCTCCAGACACAGTGGATGCCAGTCTAGCACACCTATGTGCAAGGCTGCCCACTGTGAAGCCCAACACCTCACGTTTTCTTTTTTTTGTTGTTTTTTTTTCCGGTACCGGGAATAGAACTCATGATCTCACGCTTGCCAGGCAGGCCCTGTGCCACTGAGCTAAATCCCCAGCCCCCCTCATGTTTTCTTGACCTACTTTCTCTCCATCCCTGCCCTACTCCGTTTTCCCTCTGCAGGCCGTGTAACTAGCACCTCTCCATCCATAAGGATCTGGAGACTTTTAACAAGCTCCTAACTCCCAGGATAACCAAGGAGACTGGAAAGCTGTTTTGGTTTTCCTGACATTGCTGTTTGGGTTTTCTTGTCTTTTCTTTCTCTTTATTGGTTTGATTCTGTTTCCTGGCCTCTGCAGGAGACTAGACCCAGCTTGACCTTGCCAGCCAGCAGAGCCTTGGGCTGGAAATCGGCTGGAAGTGTCCTGGCATGAACCAAAACTGAAGCCAGCACTCTTGACAGAACAGGACAAGCACTGCTCAGAGTATGCCTGTGGGAACACAGGGGTCCTTCTGAAGCCTTCTCTCATTAGAGTAGCAGCCAAAAGAGGGACGTGTAGGCTCCACCTTCTGCTTTTCTCCTCGAGAGCGAATGTCAGGAGCGCTAAGGCTACCAGGCGCTGTGAGTTCTGGCTCAATCCCTTTATGCTTCCCACTAGCAACAAAGGGAATTTGATGGGTTATCGCTTTATCCACTCACTTAAAGAAGGGAGAAAAGCTTGCAGCAAACCCTGAATAACTGTAGCCATCTTATAAATTAAGCATTATAAGGATATGAGCTATTTTTGCATTGCAACTAAACAGAATTAAATTAGGGTCTGAAGTTTCTGCAGCATTGAATGAATAAGAGACAGGCAATGTTTTGGTTTTAGTTCCTTTTTTTAAGCATGCAGGGCAGGAAGTCCAACACAGGATGAGAGTAGAACTGAGTCACCTGTCAACATTTCTGCTTTCAATCAGTTGCTGCTGCATACACATGGGAAAATGTGCCACAAGGTAATAAGGTGCAGCTCAGAGACGTGACGCTTGGCCTCTGCCATGTGATGCCTGGCCTGGCAGGGTGTCAACTATTTGCCTGTCTCTGCCCATGCTGGGGCCTCCTGACCACCACCAGCACATCAACCTCTCTCTGGGCCCGTAAGAGCGCGTCCTCATCATGACTGAAAGTTCTGGAACATTAAGTCATTTCACTGAACCAAGCATCTTTATTCTAAGTTGGCCACAAGCCTTTTGTTCAGGCTTAGGATCCAGACCCTGCCTTATTTAGAGTGTCCAATTTTTTTTCCTACCCCAGCCCAGGAAGAGGGGCCTCATGTGGTTATCTGTCTGGAAAACCTCCCTGGCATTTGAATCACTGAACAGCTGTCACCTAACCTTGCCCCTAAGGTCCACAGTTGGACAGGTCTTTTTGTGATGAAGAAGCTTAATTTCTTGCAGCTATGCCCCACGCTTCAGCTTACATTGACTGCAGTGACTGTGTGCCACATACACACCTACACACCCTGATCTCTGCTACCGTCCAAGCTGTCCTGACTGCAGTTTCCCTTTGTGGGCCATCAGATGACCACACTGTGTCTGCTGGACTGGATGGTGTGCTCTTCCCCGTGGTTGGGGCCATGTCTCCAGGACCAGAGATCTGTAGTGCTTTAGCCTCATCCAATCCTTCCAGAGAGGACACACTTGATTTCCCAGGCCATCCCCACCAGGGCTGGAGGTGCTGGGGGTACAGGCAGCAGCTCTGCCTGCCCACACCTACAGTAGCATACTCACAGTAACAAGGACAAAGGAGAAACCGAAGTGACCCTGCCTTCCCTCTCAGAGCCAGGCCTCAGCAAACAGATGGCAAAGCAATGGCCCTTCAAGCAGCCAGGCTAGGCTCACTGAGCAGGCTCTTGGCTTCATCCAAATTGCTGCAGACTGCGTACTCTCCAGGATTCTTCGGGGATCTTCTTAGACCTCTCTCTTATCTCTAGTCTGCCTCTTAATGTGCCAGGCTGAGTCCATCATAAACTGCACTAGGGAGCTATGAGCATCTTTATTCCAGTCACCAGGGGAGTTCAGCAGGTCACCCAGATCACAGCTGTTGATCTGTTGCTCCTCTACCACCATCCCTACCATCCCCATCTCCACCTCCACCACCTTCTCCACTTACACAACCACCACCATTTATACCACCTCCACCTCCTCTACCTACACCTCTATCTCCTCCACCTCACCACTCCATAACCATTCCCATCACCTGCCCCACCACCATCACCACCTCCTCTTCCATCTCCACCTCCACCCCATCACCACCACATCCACTTCCACCTCTATCCCAGCCAAACTCAGGGAGGGCAGAGAGCAGGGTCTGGACAGCTTCCCATAAGACCTGTGCAGCACACAGATGGCCCTTGTGCACCCTTGGAGTAATGGTTGGGGGTACACCCCAGAGCTGGCCTTCACTTACCAATCCTCAGGGAGTGGGGGCTGCAGGTGACCATCACGAGCCACGCAGGAAGCAGCACCAAAGGCGCCGAGACGCGGGGCATCTTCTATAAATCCTCATGGAGCCCTCTGCTGGTCTGGGCATGACATACCTCTGTGAGAGAGGGGAAGGAGCTCATGAGTCCTACAAGGGCTAAGTAGCCAACCCACACAGCCCAGTGACTTGAGCCTCCATGGAAAACTACTTGGGGAGGACCAACAACAACTTGAGAACTTGTGAGAGTATCCTGGGAAAGCTGCATCCAAAGCCATGCAGTCATTCAGGCCTTTGTCTTTCCTCTCTGTACCCGCCAGGGCTTGAGGAAGGCTCAAGCTCTAACCCTCGCCCTTGATCCACACAGGCACACTGCTCTAACTGAGGTTCCAGGATTGATGGAGACTCATGTCTCTTTTAAAATCTCCAGTTGGGAATAAAGACCTTCATCTGCTCTTAAGAAATAGGAGCCAGAGGTGACAGAAGATGGAGGCATGGGGAGAATAATTTCCTTGCCCCACGCCCACGGCATGCTCAGCACACTGCCGAGTGGGCAGGGAGGGGACTGGGCTCAAGCTTGGCTTGCTGGCTGTGTGGTCTTCTTGAAGTTTCTCTGTCTCAGCTTAGTTTCCTTGTTTGTAACAGTGGTAACACCACCTCCTGTTGGAGGTGGGCTGAGAACTAACTAAACTGTCATGAGCAGGGGCTGCCTAGATGGGGAGCTAAATGAATGTCAGTTCCTGATGAGGGGACAGATTTATTCCCAAGTCATCAGATGGTGTCCACATCTGGTTCTGCTGCCTGCTGCAATCCAATCCTAACCCCCATCCATCTCCCACTAACCCCTTCCCCTCCTTCCTGATGTCAAATGCAGAGCTGTGCATGGGGCTACCCTCCCCAAGGCAACAGTGTCACTGTCCCCCCACAGAGACCTCCTAGGTACTCTGACACCCAGAGTCTATAGGCAACCAGCACTGCCCTCATCACTGGGATGAAGGTGGGCTTGGTGAGCACCTGGATATGCTAATCTCACATGCCTTTGGTATTAAAATGTTTTCTTCTCCTACTCCCTAGATAGACATTTCAATAAAAAAATAAGCAAAAGACTTGGACAGACACTTCATCAAAGAATATACCCAAACAGCCTGTACACATTTGAAGATGTGCTTGGTTTCACTGGGCATTAGAGACATGTGACTTTAAACCCCAATAATATACCATTATTGCCCACCAGAGTAATGAAAAAAAGACAATATTAAATGTTGGAGAGGATGTGGAGCAACTAGAATTCTCAGTGTGAGCAGAAGTGTACATTCACTTGACTTCTTTGGAAAACTGGTCTACTAGAGCTTTTCACATATCATAAGAACCCAGCTACTCCACTCCTCAATACATCTCCAGCAGAAATGCATGTATATATTCATCAAACACATGTCCCAGAATGTTCATAGTAGCACTCTTTAGATTTCTCCAAACAGGAAACTATCCAGATATCCAGCAGCAGAATGGACAAATATACTGTATACTTACACAATGAAATGTGACACAGAAATGAACATGAATGACAACTATATGTGACACCATAAATGACTTCAATAAATATAGTATTTAGCAAAAGAAGCCAGGCACAAAAGAGTACATGTAGTATGATTCTATCTATGTCAAGTGCAAACACAGATGAAGCTACATTGTACTTCCTGATGTCTAGTTTGAGATTAGGGCAGACTGGACTGAGGGGTTCCATGGAACTAATGTTCTGCTTGTTACCCTGAGAGCTGGTTACACAGGTAAAACTGACTGAGGGATATACTGAAGATACATGCGCTTTACTTTCTGTGTGCTGTGTTTCAGAAGCTTTTGTTTTACAGCACATCATCTCCCCAGCACACACTTAGCGCAGTGTTCCAGCCACGGCTGGTACCCAGCAGTTCCCTGTGCCTGAAGCATGTCCCTCCCTCACCCTCATCCCAGCAGCCTATCATGGCTCTCAGAGTAGCACTTCTCCCTCTATGGCTATTGCTTTTATGTGTCTCCACCTGGGATCATGGTAGGCTCTTTAAGGGCAGGAACTGTTTCCACTTTTCTATTGCATCCCCAGAGTCTACTTATGCACATTAGTGGTACAGGACCTATTTGCTCAGTGAAAAGAAGGCCTCAAGCAATCCCCTGCTGCAATAGACACAGGAAGGAAAAGGGTAAAGAATAGAGGTAAGTAAAGGTAACTCCACTGTTAGCGAATCAGGCCCAGAATCTTTGTCCTTTAACTTAAGGGTGTTGGTGCAGAGTCAGATTTTTAAGCAAACACAGCCTCAACGGAAGCTAGACATTTTTATTCATTACAGATAAAGTTAATCATTTGGTGATTGTCGCCCAAGTAGCATGTAAACTAAACAGAGGTGGAGCTGTGTCCTTGTCTCTGTGGCCGTGCTCTATCCCCAGGTCGCAGGACCTAAGTGCTCAGCCTGCACTAACAAACCTCATGCAGCCAGGGGAGGAAGCATCCGATTTCCTAGGCAGAAAAGAGGCACTCAGTGCTATATCTTCACTACTATTTCCTTTTTGCCCCTACATTATTAAAATATTTTAGTTAATCAAGGCTGAACTATGAAGTTTTAAGACTAGGTTCATCTGAACATCAAACTGAAACCAAAACCTCAAATTTCTTTTTTTAATTATTTAAATAGGGGACCTAAAGTTTCATCTTTCTGCTCTCACATGGAAACAGTTAAGATAAACAACACAGTGGAGTCGGTCACGTGGCTTTGTGTGACCTTGAACTTTGCCCTTGACTTTCCTTGGCTTCAGCTTTCTTACCTGTATTGAACTTGTCCACTGGGTTAAATAAGATAAAGACTGTATTGAACTTGTTCACTGGGTTAAATAAGATAAAGACTGTGGGAAAAATTTTGCAAGACACCGAGTCTTCCACACTTGCAATGTGAAGGTTCTTTTATCCTTTATTTTAAAAATTAGAAAACTAACAAAACAACAATGAAGACAAATTCAAAATAACAAAAATGATACATGACCTCAAGACAAAATGATAGAAATTTACAGTGGTTGCTATATTACATATTGTTATCTTCAGCAAAGTTACTCAGTCCATTAGACATGAGAATGTAAGATTGAGCAAACAAAGACAGTAACAAGTAAAAAAAATAAAAATAACTTTAAAAAAACTTTGGAAATAATGCAGAGCATCATACAAAATGGTAGGAGTTCAAGAATGGTTCTTATACTGCATATTGTTTTCAGATCAATCATTCTAAAAATAAGGTTTGGGAGGAGATCATTTCTCATTATCATGTCCACAGTCACATGGCCGAAGGCCAAGAGCAACCCAGGACCTCAGCTATTGTTTTGAAAGGTGGCCTCCAGGATCAGTCGGGCTTTAGGGCCAGGAAGAACAAAAGTCAGGGCTGCATCAACAGAGCGTACTTCTGACATCAAATAAAATGTACATGGGCTAATCTGATACCTGCTTAGTGATCTGCATAACAATTATTGTCGTTGTGCTGATCAGGTATAATAGGATGTGATTTGATGTGAGTATATTATTACTTTTATCTAGCTTAACCAGAATAGAATGTACAGTTCTTTCCTGCTTGACAGTTCATTTCTCTACTTAACAGTATTTATGGGGGCTGTAATATATGTCAGGCATTGTTCTAGGTCCTGTGGATACAGTCAAACTTGGAAGACAGACATTTCCCTGGCAGACCCTTGTAGTTGAGGGCATTGTTCTGGACATCTTGGGGTGGCTATGCCAATCACGAGAGCAGAGTCTGGGTTGGACTGAAGCCACGTTAGAGCTGAGCCTAGACCTTGTTAAGCTAATACTCCTGGGCACCCCAGCCCTCAGAGCCTGTCTCTTCATCTACCAGTAATGTGGGAAGAACAATGCCTACCTCCGGGGTGATGAGCACCACAAAAGCAGGGAACAACTTGCACTTTTCCACCTGTGTTCCCAGTGCCTGGCACAGGCTGGCACATAGTAGGCACTCACAAAATATCTGTTGAAATAATGAAATAATCCAATCAGAGAACATTCATGGAAAACACTTTGTCATCTGCCAGCTATCTTAGCTGTGGCGAGTTACACTTAGCATCCCTGCTCACAAGGAATACACATGTGTATTTTCCATCCTGGCAAGCTCTCTTCCTTTAACCATTTGAACCCCCACGAGGCTTGAGGGTACCATTTACTGCACTGCCCTGCGACAGTCTGACAGAGATACTGGGGCACTGGACTGGGAGACTCCCCTTTGCTGTCCCATGTGCCTGTCCAGAATGTCTCCTCACCCTAACACCAAAAATCAGACACTTCACTTTTTCTAGAAGGAGAATCTAATCTACACTTTTGCATAACTGCAAGATTGCTCAGCTCCATCAAGGTAGAAGAGCCCCTTGAACATCTCTTTCAGATCCCATTGTCCCTGCTCCCCTGTTCCACGCTCCTGCTTTGAAGAGAAGTCCCAAAAAGGCAAGGGTTTCATCCCTCTGATTCACAGCTCTGCTTTCAGAACCCTGGACAGTGCCTGGTGCAAGGCTGTCAAATGTGTGAATGAATGAGAGGTTATTTAACTCTGCACTTATTTCTGCCATAGGGTGGGTAGGGAAAGTCTCTTTCAGGCACATATCTACCTGATATTCTTGCTATGAGGCCTATACTGAGTAGAAACTCAACAAATGCTTGCTGATTCACACACAGGGGGCAGCTGTTTGCACTACCAGGCATGGCCTGTCCACAGCTCACTGCATTCTTGTGGTGTGCATGCTGCCTTAACCCTGCCCAGCTCTGCTGACTGGCCTCCCTTCTCCTGACTTATACGAAGTCTCCTTGCTGTTCTCTTTCTCTCATTCTCATATGGTTACTACATCGTTAATCATAATTTTCCCAGAGTGGGACAGAGAGAATGCTGACAGCCACCAGACAGTGTCTGGTGGTGGGCAGGACAGAAGAAATCAGAGGGGTAGCCAGATTAATTACAGGTTTCCTCTCTACTGTGGGCAACAAGGTCTTGATTACTCCTCCTGATGCTCCAGGCTCCACAAGACAAATGGATGTGGGATTCTTTGCTGTCTCTGACTCCGCCTGCCTGGGAGAAACTCTATGCAGT